GGCCAAGGATGTTGAGTAACTTTTCTTTTTTTAAATATAAGAGGACTTTATTGAGTTAGAAATGTTAGAATCTTTCCAGTGGAAATTTCTTGACTTACAACAAAACTAAAACATATGTTTTCTTCATTTTCTATTCAGTAAATTGTACTTACTTAAAGTTCAAATCTAACTGTTCTCATGTACAAAATAGAAAGACTAAATCTTTCCGTATTATTTGAAAAATAATAAATATAGTAAATTTTATAAGCCCAAAACTGCCAGGTTGTAAGGTCAGAGCTGTTGAATTGAGTCAGGAATCTCTGCAGGATTTAATAATAAAATGTGGGGTTACAAGTTTTTGTTCTTAAGGACACAGCCAGGCAAAGCAAATAAAAGTGTAACAGCAAATTTCAGAAATTGTCAATTACAAAAGATATTTCTACAGTCAACTCACTGAACAATTTTTAGAACTCTGGAAGTCAGGTTACAAAGTTTGCACAAAAGACCTCTGAGATACTCTTTTCAAATGGAAAGGTTATCTCATGACTTATTATCTTCATATACTTCTTGCTACTAACCCAATGAAAAATTTTTATACATAAATGAAATAATTGTGAGATAGAAGATTTGCTAGCAGTGTTTGTAGAAAGTGTAACTTATAAACCTGGTTCCTGAGTCATGTTTACCTTACAATTCCTGTGTAATTTTAATCAATAACTTCTCTGTCTTTTCATTTTATTGGAGACAAAATTATATTTCCCTTGACCACTTAATACATAACAAGATAGCATATCAAACCATAATCACTTTATGACAATTTTTTTTAAAAATTGGTGAGGATAAAAGAGGTATTCTAATGTGCAAGCAACAAATATATTTGTTTCCAATGAAAGATTAGAATTATTACAATTTTGTACTTTTTTAACCAAATACTCTAACTAAATGGCTTACTTGTAACTGTAATAACCACTCATCCTTAAATCATGATAATCACTTGCCTATTGGGATATCTAGTATGTTGTTCTGTACCAAAGAGTGGGAACAAACCCACAACTGAGCCTTTGGTGGGTTTTTAGAGGCAGTTAATCACACGGTAGGAGACTGTCCATCCTTCTTCCTTGGAGCAGCTGGTGACCTCCAACCACATGCTTTTGGAATTTCAGTGCAGCTTTTGCCACTAGGCTATACTGTATTTTAATAGAATTTGATTGCAATGGAGTTCCAATATTTTTGAAGTTCTTGTTAAGACTCCAAGACTTAAAAATTGCCAAATTCTAGGAAAAAATATAGATTTTATTCAGGAACTGTATAATTAAATCTGAATAGATCAATTATTGATAACAGAATTAAGAACTGCAGAAAGGGGACATTAAATCATTTGCAGCCTTTGAAAACCACTAGAGGGTCAGATACGAGTTTGGGCTAGAGAGGTGGTTGAAAATAAAGCACGTGAATTCTGTGTTACAGATTTCTTTTTAAGTTATAGCCTGTGAAATATTTGAGTGTTGTTTAATTTTTCACAATGATCAATCAAGTTTCTTCTGGGTTCTCTGGGGAATAGTTCTTTTTTAGTTAGATGGCAAGATACAATCTTCTGTGTTTATGTTCACTACCCAAGCAGTTTCAGGCACATCTAGTTGTTATTATTATTTATGTTTTTCATGTAGGGAGATTCTTGTAGTCACGTTGGTGTCTGCTATTACAGTTGCCTCAGTCTTGCTGCAGATTGGCCAAATTTTTCCGACAGATAACTGGTATTTTTTAATCCAGGCCAGCTTGATTTGAGTGCAAGTTCTTAGCTAAGTCTTCATGGTGACTCTTAGAAGATTTAGGCAGTTCCACTGTCCTTCATTCTGTTTGCATTTACAGAGCTGACTTTGTTTCCATCACAGAAGGATGTCTGGGACAGTGAGGTGGAGGATGCAGGAAAGAGCTTTCATATCACCTCATCGTGTAATATTGTTCTTCAGTGATTGATGTTGAGTATCTTTTTATATGCCTGTTAACTCCTTTGTGTATCTTGTTTGGGGAAATGTCTATTCAGAACCTTTACCACCATTTTTAAATCAAATTCTCTTTTTTATTACTGAGTTGTAGGAGTTCTCTAGGGAGCTTTGGTGGTATAATTCCCACTGAGCTGCGCTGCTAACTCAAAGGCTGCACATCTCTGGCAGTTCAAATCCACCTCTCTTCAGGATAAAGCAGTCAGGACTCACTCCTCCATTTGCAATAATACAGCCTTGGAAACATTGTGGGGAGTTGCTAGAGGTTGGAACTGACTCTTACCTCATAAATAATTTTAAAAAGAGAGGCATTATGTTTAAGGTGAGGGGATATAAAGGTCAGCGAAGGAGAGGAACCATCCATAAGTTGGGTTGACACAGTGACTGCTGCAATGGGCTCTCATATGTCAGAAGTGTGAGGACGGCACAGGATAGGACAGAGTTTAGATCTGTTGTTCATAGGGTTGCTATGGGTCATACACAACTCATACAGACTAACAAGACAGGTGTTCTTCAACACCTAACAACAACCAACAATAATGCTGAAGGTGAATATCTTTATACTTATTAAGCTAGGTTGTTGTTTAAAGATTACTTGAGGGGATAGTTTCAGTGCTAAGCTTAAATTTTCTCAGGGCAACTGCCAAAGGGGCCCTTTAGAGTAGTGAGAGAAGATCTTCACCCTGAAACCCACAGCGTCCCTTTTCAGCAGGAAGTAGCTAAGAGAATACGCCATCCCCTTTTCCTTATGACTCAGGGTGAAGTCTCTCTCAGGGAGGAGTGATAGGGAATGGCAAAGGACACACTGACAAAGAAGATTAATCAGAACTGGCTTTGACAAGCACTATGGCATTTGGACAAGAACAAACTGGGAGGAGGGTAGAGAGAATAGTGCAACAATGAATGAGTGGAAGCCCAAAATCTCTGTAAATGTTTATGAAAATTAATAAAATATAATTATAGAAAAAAAAATTTTCTCAGGGCAATAGGTCCAAGGGTTCCTCCAGTCTCAATGGGTTCTGTAAATCTAGGTTACACAGAATTTGAAGTTCCTTCCTTTTGCTCAGGACTCATCTGTTGAGTTATTTTTTTTTATCTATTGAGTTCTTGATCAAAGCATTCAATGTTTTGTAAAATACAGTGAAGTAAGGAGCTCTGGTGGCCTAGTGGTAAGAATCTGCGCTGCAACCCCAAAGGCACTTCGTTTGAATCCATCAGCTACTCTGTGGGAGATGAGTGGGTAATTTTTTTTTTAAATGAATGGATAATTTCCTTTCATGTTATTTACTGCCTCTAAAATCCAGGTGGGAGGGTCAGCTGTGGGTCAGTTCAATAATAAAAACCACAAAAATGATAAGGGAACTCTTTGGTGATCTAGAGCACAGTGAGTTGCACGTCTAACCCATAATATTCAGTAATGGCAGGAAGCAGTTACAGCTTAGCTCGTGAAGCCAGTTATACAAGCAATCCAGTTTCTTCTCTGATTGCTGCATTGTCTTTTTTTCCTGTTCCAAGTGGATAGAGACCAATTGTTAAATCTTGGATGGCAAATAGGAAGACTAAAAATCATTTTAGGCCTTTTGACCACATATGTCCCAGAAATAATGCCTCTTGTTGTAAATCTTCTACATTAGAAAGAAAATGCCAAATATTTGTGAGTGATGCTATACTGATACATACAGTGGGAAGCAAAAAACAAAAACAAAAACAAAAAAAAACAAACAGAAAACCCAGAAGAGGTCACAGCCTAAAATTGACCTCCTAGAACCTGACCAAGCAGATACTCTGAATAGCAGAGAAAACTTATTAACCAATATCTGGATTAATAGAGATCCCTTCCTGTAAGAATTAGGATGTTCCTTCTTTCTCTAGACAGCAATCTGATGGTAATACTGAAAAGAAAGTTCAGTCTATTAAACAAGGAGACTTAGTTGTTGTCTGTTGTTGTTAGGTGCTGTCGAGTCGCCTGTGACTCATCGCGACCCTATGTACAACAACCCTAAACCCTGCTCTATCCTGTGCCTATCTTATTGTGTCCGACACACTTACTCCCTTTACCCCAGTCTCTGAATCAATCCATCTCATCGAGGGTCTTCCTCTCTTGCACTGTCCCTCCACCCTCCCAAGCATGACATCCCTCTCCAAGGACTGATCCTGCCTTGCAACATGTCCAAAGTATGTCAGGCGAAGAGTCAGAATCCTAGCCTCCAAGGAACAGCCTGGTCTCACCCTCTCCAAGACGAACTTGTTTATTCTCCTGGCAGTCCATGGTATATCCAATACTCTTCTCCAACACCACAACTCAAAGTTATCAATTCTTAATCTATCATCCCTAGTCATTGTCCAGCTTTCTGATGCATAGCAAGCAATAGAATTGGAGATATGACTAGCAAGAGGCTCTGGTGATGATGATAATAATAATAATAATAATATGTGGTTGAGAATATTTCATATGTCATGATCTTAGTAGAAAGAGATAGTATTGTGTGGGACTTAGATGACCATGGCTGCAAGCAAAATGAACAAATCTTGATAGTCTGGTGATCTCAAAGCTGTAAAGTGCAAAACGGGAGCAATACTTGGAAGTCATTTTCATAGAAGGAAATAACTAAAATTAAAACAGTAAGGATTTGAGTGAATAGAAGGGACTTTGGCTTGCTAGGTCTAATACATTGCATGTGATTATCTGCCTATTGTTTACCTATTAGTATGATTTTCAAACAGTATACATCATTTTTCAAGAATCACTGTTGTTTTGATTGCCCTGTTTGTTTATTTAGCTACCTAGCAGAAACTTCAAATTAAAAGGTAGCAATGCATGATTTCCTAAAGGTTTTTGTAACTTGCCATGGGTTGCTGGTAAATTAACAAGCCTCAGTTACTCTGTATGTCTCTGATTTTATTTATTTATTTTTTTAAATCAAGTCTACCCTATTGGAGGGAGGGTCTACCCAGAGGGGAGGTAAGAAGAAAGAAATTCTTGTTATTTAGAGAGATAATTTTACCGTTTTATTCCAGTTTCCAGTTTCCTGTAATACCGGATATGAATATTCTTGGCAAGGTTATTTTACAAGCTATCTCTCTAGCTTTAGTGAGCTCAGCTCTGCTTATATTTCTGGGCAAGAAGATTTCTACTATGCATAACTACAATGTCAATTCCAATCAGGTGAGAGGACAGGATGTTCTATACCATTTGTCTTATTTACCTAGTGCTGCTATAACAAAAATATTGCATGTGATTGCCTTTAACAATCAGAAATTTCTTTTCTCATAGTTAGTGTCCTGGAAGTCCAAATTAAAAGCATGAGTTCTAGAGTAAGGCTGTTTCTCTCCAATTGAGGAGAAAAGTGTTTCAGATTCTGTTCCTCAGTCCTGGATAATCTCCACTTGGCATCTCTCATTCTCACCTTTATGCTTGTTTGCTTTTACTCCTGTGCTGTTCCTTGTAACCTGACATACTCTATAATGATATGTCCTCATTAACATAACAAAGAAAACGCTAGTCCTAAATGGCCATTATTTGTTCTCTAGTCTAAGCTTCCTGCCAACACAAGGCCTGGGTTCTTCTCTAATAAAACAGTTAGTTACTTTGGCCATAAATTTGGTTGGTAAGAACCAAAAGATTTTTTGAAGCAAAAGATACACTTAACTTTGAAGCCACTTGAATTAACGTGCTATTCTCCCAGAACAGATATAATACAGTTCAGAAAGGCAAGCAAATAGCATTTGCCGTCATGTTGTTAGGCTAGCAGAATAATTAGTAGAGTTTCTCCTTTAGTGTCAGCATCCTTACTATATACTCAAAATTGCAAATGTTATAGGATATCATGTACAAAACTAGGTTATTAAAACAGGTAGGTGCAGAAACCTGGAGCCGGCATCCCGACTGCGCCTTTGCATAATCTCTAACGCAGTGCAAAGTGGGCAGGGGAAGGAAGACTGAAAAATCTGGCTCTGGAGTCCTTCACCCGCCTCAGCTGCCTTAGTGGACTCTGCTCCGGTTCCTAGGATGGGCCAGCGGCTGTGAGCCATCGCCCAACCCGGGGACGAGCGCCCCTGCAGGCGGCCCAGGGGTGTGTGTGACCGGGAACAGAGTCCTAGAGGGCGTCGTCGGGCTGGGTCTGAGCAAGATGGCATGGAAGCATATAGCTGCTGGGTGTCTCCTTGTATGTCAAAATCTGCCATTTCTTGTCCGATGAGGAAGTTAATACTGATATATATTGCCTCTATGTGACAAAGTGGAACTGTGCCATTTACAGGAGCACATTGCCAGGTCTTTTCCTCCCATGAAGCAGCTGATGGTTTCAAACCCACAACCTCTCTTTTAGCAGGGACACTTCATTGATCAAGCTATGGTGAAAAATGTTTTGGAAAGGCAAAAAGAGGCACAGTAGCAGCAGTTACCAAAGCACTGAAGTAAGCACTAAGAGCAAGTCTGTAGTAGATACAGCCTTGAGGGGTTTTCTCCATTTAGTACTATAGCCAGCCTTGATACAGATTCCACTGAAAGCTCAGGACAGAGCAACAGTAATTCAGATACCTGTGCAGAATTTCCAATAAAGTACGTTTGTGCCATTGAAAAACTGAAAGTCTCAGAGGGGAAAATTCTGGAAGGGCCACTAAACCTGGTACCAATTCCATTGTTCAATGGATAGTAAAGACAATCTGCAATTTCATTTGGAATGAAAAGAGACCCCGAATAAGCAAAACACTCCTTAAAAAGAGAAACAAGGTAGGAGGCACCTCACTCCCTGCTTTCAAATCCTACTACACTGCCATGGTGATCAAGATTGCATGGTACTGGTACAATGACAGACACATAGATCAATGGAATAGAATTGAGAATCCAGAAATCAACCTATCTGCCTATGGTCAACTGATTTTTGACAAGGAGATGAAATCAGTGAAGTGGGGAAATGACAGCCTTTTAAACAAATGGTGTTGGCAAAATTGGAAAACCATCTCAAACAAGATCCACACCTCACACCATACACAAAAACTAACCAAAAAAAAAAAACCAAAGTGGATCAAGGATCTAGGACTAAAACCAAAGACTATAAACATCATTAGAGAAAAGCTTGGAAGAAGAACTCTAGAAGCCCTAACCCACAATATGAACAGTCTTCTAAGCATCCTGAAAACCCACAAGCAGGAGAGGATAAAAGAACAACAAAACAGAACTAAATATTGAATCTCAAATAACAATCCTATTTTCATAATCCTAATCTCTGAATGTGGCGTCAAGATTGGAGGAAGACTCATCAACAACTTTTGTTATGCAGATGACACAACCTTTCTTCCCTGAAAATGAGGAGGACTTGAAGTGCTTGCTGCAGAGTATCAAACACTTGCAGCCTTCAATATGGATTGCACCTCAACATTAAAAATAAATAAATAAACAAATTCTCACCACTGGATTGATAGGCAACATCATGATAGATGGAGAAAAGATTGACAATGTCAATGACTTTATCTTAGTTTGATCTTCAATCAATATACTTGGTACCAGCAGACAGGATATCAGATGTATTGAACTGGGAAAATCTATAGTCAGGGACTTCTCTAAATCACTGAGGAGCAATTATATCTGTTTCAAGACTATGATATGCCTGATTGAGGCCATGGAGTTTTCAGTCACTTGCTCAGCACCTGAGAGCTAGACAATGAATGACAGAAGAGTTGCTGTGATTTTGGAGAAGAGTCCTGAATATCCCATTGACTATTAGAAGAACAGATACGTCTCAGAGAAGGTAGAGCCAGAGTATTCCTTGGAAGCAAAGTTGAGAATGCTTTATCTAACATAGTTTGGACATGTTGTTAGGAGAGGCATTTCCTTGGAGAAGAACATCATGTTTGGAAAGGTGGAGGGTAGGTGAAACAGAGGAAAACTTTTAGCCAGGTGGATTGACACAATGACTGCAGCAATGGGAGAAAGTGTGTCAGAGATTGTGAGGATGCCACAGGATAAGACAGGGTTCAGATCTGTTAGTCACACGATCACTATCAGTTATATTCAACATTAATATTCTCATATATGAGAAATAAACATTCATGCAATTAAGCATTATGTATCACTAACAAATAATTTATGAAACATTGTAGAACATGAATTATTCTAGAGGAAATAATGCTGAGTGACTTATCAGTCACAGAAGGACAATTATGGTATAAGGCCACTATTATAAAAAATTAAATAAAAGTTTATGCAAAGATAGAATCATTCTTGAATGGCTAACAAGGATAAGAAGGGAGAGAGAGAGGAGTAAAAATTAATAAGTAAACTGCGTAAAAGGAAAGGCAAAATATGAGACTGATCAGACATTGTACTCAGTTATATCATTAATAAATTATAATTAGTATTATGAAATGATATGTGTGTGGATAATTGAATGCAAAACCAATGATTCAATTTTTTTAAACATACACTTTCATTAGAAATCAAATCAAATCTTGAATAAATAATAAGTTTAAACTGTCTGTCTGCCATTGCTTTACAGGATTTACTAGTCACTGGCGTTTGCAATCTCATCAGTTCACTTTTCAGATGTACTGTGTTTACTGCCGATATAGCCAGGACTGTTATCCAGGATAAATCTGGAGGAAGACAACAGGTATGTTGATCTGGAATTTAATCTTTAAAATATAAAGCTATTTCTTTCTTTTCATATGTATATACAAAGAAGGAGTTAAATTGGTTTAATTTTGCAGCTTTGCTGAGCTTGTTGGGAAAGAATTTAAATTCCATATTTGCCTTATTTTTTCATTGGTTTTCTCCTTAAGAGTTCATTTGTCCAAAGGACAGTGCAAGAGAAATTCAGTATCTGGCATCGTTGGTTTTCTTGGCATTGTGCAAGATAAACCTGGTATTTCTACTGATACAGTTCATACAGTTTTTAAAAACTATTCAGTGTGCTGACAAAACCTTTATTTAGGAACAACTTTTCTTTTTCTAGGGTCACTGAAATGAAGAAGTAGAAAGTACTGGCATCCTAAAATGACCCTGAAGTGAGTGACTAATAGGGAGAAATAGTAGGAGAGAACAAGCATATCAGCATGCAGCCTAATGGAAACAAAATGTGACAGCTCTGTCCAGTGGCAGTATTGCATAGAAGCATGTGGTGACCTCCAGAAATCTATATTGAAGGAAGGGTAGTGGTTCAAGGGTTCTCTTGAAGATGAATCTTATATACAAGCTTTGGAGGAACTGTGGTGATATTGATGGACAATGGAATTAAAAGACAAAGCAACATTCATTAAATAAAAATTTATTAATATTAAAAAAAATAATTCATTTGTCAATATGAAGCGTGAAAGTTTTAATAGACATTTATGGGAGAATTTTTTATATATTAGCTCACTTTCAATATTAATATTCTTAAAATATAAAAATGTTTTAAGTAAATTATCCATTATTTATTAATATATTTGCTAATGAGAAACACATTCTCCATTCTACTCTGGGAAAGCAATAATGGAACTTTCCCAGTACTGGCAGTGGAACTGAAAATATTCTTAGCTTCCTCTGAAGACATGGTCAAAGGCTATCATGATAGGGAATAAGGTAAGCCTAGAGACTGTTCAACTTTTACATGAAAGAAAATTATCTAGATCAGTATCTTTCTAGAATCTGTGTTCCATTGTCTATGCAAAGGCATTTGACTGTGTGGATCACAACAAACTATGACTAACTCTGAGAAGAATGAGAAGCCAGAACACTTGATGGTGTTTATGCAAAACCCTTGGACCACAAGGCAGTTGTCAGAACAGAGCAAGGAAACACAGCAGGGCTCAAAATCAGGAAAGGTATACGCCTATCTCCATACCTTTTCAATCTATACGTGGAACAGCTCATCTGAGAGGCTAGGCTCTATGAGGAGAGATGTGGCATCAGGATTGGAGAAAGCCAACTTGTGTTATGCAGATGTCACAACCTTACTTGCTGAAACTGAGGAAGACCTGAAGCTCTTGCTGTAGGTCAAGGACTACAACTTTCAATATGGATGGAAGCTCAACATCAAGAAAACAAAGATTCTCACCACTAGGCCAATTGGCAGTGTCATGATAGATGGAAAAGAGATTTAGATTGTTAACACATTCAGTTTGCTTGGCTCCACAATCAACACTCTTGGTACCAGAATTCAGGAACTCAAAAGATGAATTGCATTGGGAAATTCAACTGTCAGGAACCTCTCCAGAGTACTGAAGAGCAATGATGCCAGTCTGTAGTCTAAGGTGCACCTAATCCAGGTCATAGTCTTCACAATTACTTGCTTTGTGTATCAGAAAGGTGGACAATGAAGAAGAGTGATAGAAGGAGAATTTATGCCTTTGGGCTGTGGTGCTGGAGAAGAATATTGAAAATACACCATGGACTGCTTTGTGTAGAACAAGATGTTCATCTTAGAGAGGGTGAAAGCAGGCTGATCCTTGGAGGCAAAGATTCTGAAGCTTTGTCTGACATACTTTAGGCGTGTTGCAAGGAAGGACCAATCCTTGGAGAGGGACACTTCATGCTTGGAAGAGTGGAGGGACAGCACAAAAGAGGAAGACCCTCAATGAGATAGATTGATTCAATGACTGGGGTAGTGGGGGTAGGTGTGTCAGAGACAATAAGGTTGGCACAAAGCAGAGTTCAGAGTTGTTGTACACAACATCGCTATGAGTTGCAAGCAACTCAACGGCACATAACGACAACAACAACATGATATTGTTCAATAATTTTCCTATTCTGTTGCATCAGCTTTCTTGGAAAGAGAAAAAATACGTATCCCTTGCTGTCAGTCAGCTAGGCAGCTGTCCTAATTTCCTGGCATAGACGTGTCCAGGATTGCATCTGTTAGTTGCAACATATCAATTGGTATTCTATCAAATCCTGATGCCTTATTGTTTGCCAATGCTTTCGATGCAGCTCAACTCAAACACTTCCTCTATTACCATTGGCTCTTGTTCATGTGGTACTTCCTGAAATTTTTCAATGTTGACCAATTCCTTTTGGTACAGAGACTGTTTGCCTTCCATCTTTTTTTTTTTTTTTTAAATACTTCCTGGATCCTTCAAGGTTTTGCCCAAGGCATTTTTAAGTATTGCAACTTGAGTCTTACATTTGCTTTTCAGTTCTTTCAGCTTGAGAAATGCTGAGCAAGTTCTTTCCTTTCTATTCTTTGTTTCTAGCTCTTTGCGCATTTCATTATAATATTTTGTTTTGTCTTCTTGAGCTGCCCTTTGGCTCTTCTGTTCAGCTCTTTTACTTCAGTCCCTCTTCCCTTTATTTTGACTTCCTGATGCTCTAATGTATGACCAACAACTTATTCACTGCAAATACCTTTGTAAAACACATGAACAGGAACATGAGCCTTACCAGATGGAATCTTCAGGAATTAACTTGGCTCCATCTGTGGAACAAGACAGTGGAGAAGCTCATCATCATCGTCAGAACAAGACCAGGAGCAAGCTGTGAAGTAGCTCGTCAGTTGTGCATGTGTAATTTCATATTAAAACTGAAGAAAATAAATTCAAGTTCACCAGAGCCAAAATTTAACCTTGAGTATATTCACCTGATTTTAGAAACCATCTCTACTCTCAGGAGTTGATTTGATACATTGAATACTAGTGACCAGATAAGTTGTGGAGTTATAATAAGAATATTACATATGGAAAAATCTAAATATTACTAAGACAGGAAATAAAGGGGGGTGAATGTCAGAGAGACTCTGAAACTTGCTCTAGAGCATAGAGAAGTTAAAACAAAAGGAAGAAATGATGGAATAAGAAAGCCAAACTGAAGATTTCAAAGGATGGCCACAGAAGACAAAACAAAATATTGTAATTAAACATGTAAAGACTTGGACTTAGAAAATCAAAAGGGAAGAACACATTCAGTGTTCCTCAAATGAACAAACTGAAGAAAAAATTCAAGCCTCAAGTTGCAATACTGAAGGACTCTATGGGAAGAATATGACTGATGCAATAAAGCATTTGAAGAAGTAGCATGGCAGAAGAATTGATGCCTGTGAGTTGTGATGATCCTCCCATAGACTGCTAAAAAAAAATAAATCAACGTATCTTGAAAAAAATTGCAGCCAGAATGCTCCTTAGAGGCAAGGATGACAAAGCTTTATCTCCCAAACTCTTGGCATGTGGTGAGGAGTTGCTCTTCCTTGGAAAGGGCATCATTCTTGCAAAGGTGGAGGTCAGCGAAGGAGAGGAAGACCTTCAACAATGTGTGTTAGCACAGCAACTGCAGCAATGGGCTCAAGTGTGTCAGAGATGATGAGGACAGTGCAAGATGGGACAGGGTGCAGATCTTCTGTTCATTGGGTTGCTGTGCGTCAACTTGAAGGCACATAATAACAATAGACTGGCATAGAACTTCGTGCGTCAACTTGAAGGCACATAACAACAATAGACTGGCATAGAACTTCTTGGAGCCTACCATCCTAGCACTGCTTTATTTTTATTTTTCATCTGCTATAAATATGAACTGTGTATATTTGTTTGGATTTCTCTTTAATTTCCCCTTATCGCAAAGCCACTTTTGTAGACCTGGTCCCAGCACAAAGAATATAAAGAACGCTGTGCTCTCCTAGAATCCTCCCTTTCTCCGCCTTCCTCCTGCTCATCCAGTTCTGGCCGCTCAGGTTTCTTTTCTTTTCTCCATGATTCCTTTTCTTCTCCCTTGCTTTTCAAAGGCTAACCATGTTGCCTTGTTCTCAGGCTTCTAGAATTGCTTTTGTTAAAATGTGTGTTTATAAAAGACCAAGATGTTTTGTGGTCATTTTAGAGAAAGCAGACAAGAAAATGAAAAACGTCTGCATTTTGTTGAGGAGTTTGAAACCTGGTCTATGCTTCCTCAATTTATGACCTTGGGCATGTCACTTTTGTTCCCTGAGGTCCTAGCCTTCCTCAGTAAAATGAAGATAAACTATTCAATTGTAACAAATTAGGTGATAATAGTATCTTTCACTTCAAAAATGCTCAAAAATCACAGCTTCAACTCCGAGTTCCTATTGAAGGAGTAGGTGCCAAGCAATCGACTGTCTTGTTTCTGGAGCAATTGTTAGCTTAAAGTCTGTATGCTGATAGTGGTTATGAATGAAGGGATTCTCTACTCATTCCTAATGTCACCTTGTATCTCTGGAGAGCCAACTGAGTTAAAAAAAAATTACAAAAATGATGGCGAAAACAGAGCAGATAAACAAAGTATGTATGAGCTGTGAGGTTCTAAAGGGCATGCTGGTTTTAGACTCAACCTAGTACTGAACCTGAGATTCTGCAAGCCATCAAGCATACTTATAAAACAAGCCTGGTTTTCTGATCCCAAAGCCTTTGGATGTCCTTTGAGTGCACTGTTAGTGACAAGCCCGCCCGCCCTCTCTGAGAAGCAAATTTTATTGGATTCTGTGTATGACTTGTACTTATTTTATAATCTAGATTTTTATACAGTGTGTTTTGTCCTTCATACCTTTGTCCTTTCACACACACTCTTTTAAAAAAGAAAAAATCAAAAGATTTATAGCAGAAAGAGGTGGTAGAAAAGGTATGTTTTATTATCCTAGGATAAACAAAGTAGGAGGTGGTAGAAAAGGTATGATTTATTATTCTAGGATAATCAAAGTAATGTCTTTTTTACAGTGCCAACAAAGAATGCCAGAAACATGAGCTATAAATTAGTAGCAGGCTAAGATGTTATGCTATAGCTCCGCAGTGTATGATATGTTTGCCATTAGATCTTGCTGCTTTCACTGATGGTAATTGCTTTCCCTGAATCTTTCTTCCTACCCTACTTTCAAGTGGTTCAGATTTTTCATAACTGGCTCCTCACTTTATCCATATTATTTAAGGAACTTAATTCAAGGGATTCTCTGTTCTTACTGGTATATGGCATTGTTTTTATCTGTGGTGGTTATGGTTTACACACCACTATCCTACTATCTCCATCTCAGTGAAAAATGATACTGCTTTATTTTATGTTTGTATGTTTATTTTTGTACATAGAGGCTAATTTTTCAAATGGAATTGAACTAGTAGAGAATATAGGAATTCAGAACTCTGTTCAGAGACAGCCTTGAGACTCTAAAGGAGATTTTTTTTTTCTCTACCTTTTTCTGCCAAGTCAGAGTCACTGACTTAACACGTTACACTAAGGTCACAGCAGTCAGTCCATATGTGAACCTTGACTGGTGTTTGTAACATTTTTTATTGTTAGTGAAACAAAAAGAAATGGAAGTAGGAAAGTGGGAAGTGATGATCATTGTATTTTTAAGCTGTTAAGTGAAGAGCTTTCCAAGCTTCAAGTAAAAGAGTAAAGAATGGATATTTATTTGTATGGGAAAGGATAATGTAGTATTTTAGGATTTGCCAAGGAGGACGCTATTTGAGATTTTATAAGTTATGAACACGTGTTGCCATTGAGTCAGTTCTGAATCATAGAGACCCTCTAGGACAGTACAGCTGCCCATAGGGCTTCCCAGGCTGTAAATTTTTACAAAAGCTGACTGTCACATCTTTCTCCCATGAAGTGCCTTGTGGGTTTGAATTATTGACCTTCTGTTTAGCAGCCAAGGGCTTACCTATTTCACACCAGAGCTTGTGGTTAATTGTGCAAGGAAGGGTTGTGGTTAGGAGGAAATGCAAGCATGATTTTAGGAGATTCCTGACCTGCATAGAGACCCAGTAGGGATTCAAGTACAATAACCAAATCCACTCATACAGACCCACTGACAAAGAGTCAATTGTAACTCATGGAAACCTTCTGTCAGGTTTGTAGGGTGGTGACTCTCTATGGGAGGAGATTGCCCATCTTTCCCCTGTGGCTGAGGGATTCAAAAGTCTAATATGTAGTGCACTATGCCTCTGGGGATTACTATTATTATTATTATTATGTGCTGTCAAACAACTCATAGCAACCCTATAAACAATAGACCTGAACGCTGTCTTATCCTGTGCCAACCTCACAATCTCTGACACATCTGAGCCCATTGCTGCAGTCACTGTATCAAACTACCGTGTTGAGGGTCTTCCTCTCTTTCATTGTCCTTCCACCTTTCCAAGCATGATGTCCTTCTCCAAGGAATAGCCTCTCTTAGCAACATTCCCAAAGTATGTGAGATGAAGCTTTGCTCCTTAGAATTCAAATACTCAGACGAATCTAGAATATTTTAAGACTAGTCATGCCTTTGTTCAACCAGAGGCATATCTAGACTATGGCAGGTATGTCAGTGCCCTGGGTGACACATGAAAGGGGCAGCAGTGAGCAATTTCTGCTCCCCATTTAAGTTTCTATCACTAGCTATCAGACATCACTCAACAATTTAAAACTAATTGCCGTAGGCCACGGTTCTGGGAGAGTTTATGCTGAAAGGTTACAACTAACTAATGTTGAAAAATAGAAAAATTACATTCTTCTCATCATGCAGAAGTCCCTGGTTGCAGACAGGGACCAATATGTTCCTGATGGTCTCTCTCCAACCGGCTCTGTCTCCTCAGTTTGCATCTCTGATAGGCGCAGGGTTGATGCTGCTGCTGATGGTGAAGATGGCAAGCATTTTCAACCAACTGCCAAATGTAAGTGCCCAAACCTCTGCATGAATTATTGTTTTATTCTCATTAATCATTTTCTTATTGCTTAAGCTACTAAGTATGGGATTCCATTTAAAAATGACCAAAATAAACTACAGCTACGAGATACCCTAGAACCTACACAGCTTGGAAACTGATTGTGCACTCATGCCATCCATTTTCCTAAATGGTTTCCAGAAAGCATCTTTCTTCGTTCATGTGAGCTTAATCCCTCTTTCACCCCTTGTCCCTGCCCCACCCCCATCCCTCCTGCCTCTTGGTTAGTTCACAAAACTGAGAGGTAAGGTTAGGTCTGAAAATTAAGTTATGTGTTCAGCTAGTTTACCTTGTCAATGTGCCATTTCCCTCCTTTGTGGGAGAATGATTACCTTGCACTTGATGAGATTCCATATTGTTAATTACTGGCTGTAACCAATTTGTTCCAGGCTGTCATATGTTCTAAGTTATTGTTTGTCGATACTTAATGAGCATCATTTCCTTTTTTATTTCCTTAATATGCCCTTTAACCATTTTTAAGCAATGAAAAGGCAAGTAACAATTAAACTACATCTACAACAAGGAAGTGGAATATTTCTTTCCTGGTGTAGTTAACAACATACTGAGGTGGAAGTCCCTAAGTTAGAATGGTTGTAGAATGTTAGTCCAATTACTTTGAAGACATCTACTTGGTGATACCAGGTTTCAGTAGCTCAAGACCATCTCAAGGCTGTTGTTGCCTTCTGCCCTGGGGATACAAAGACCTTAGAGTTCCTTCCAGGAACATATGCAAGGAGGATGGGGGTAAGCCTGTGATCAGCAGTGAGTATCCCTGATTTCAAGCAGAAGTCATCTCTAGAACATAATTTATGCAAGCATATTTGTTACTGTAATTATTTGACTTAGGATAGCCACACACTAATTTACTTTGAACAGTCAATATTTTCCCCCTTTATAGCTAGAAGCAGAATAAATAAATCCCAAACAAATTAAAGTTATCAGAATTCACACAAGAGTATTGATAAAAGTAGGTAGCTTCCTTTAGTTTAAACATATTGGGGATAGAACAGCCCTTGTTTTGGCTAACTATATTTTCTTTTACATCTGATTAGCATTTTCATCTGTCCCTAAGGCCATATTTTACAACTACCAGTTTTTCTTCTTTGTTTTCAACTTTTTCTTCCCAGTCACTAATTATTATTAATAATGCATCTTGATTTCATGTTCAATCAATTTCAGGCTCCAAAAGTCAGTAGAAATCCTGTTTATTCATCTTTGGCTTTAGAAGTGGGTACCTTGGGAAATATAATTTTAGTGACAGAAATGAGGCTAGATTGAATGTTAGAACTTTATACAATCAATTAGTTGTTAATTACAAATACCTTTTTTTAAAAAAAAACCCTAAATGGTAGCTATATACATGAACCTCATCTAATGGACTACACAGGAATCAGACTGACTATATCTATAGACAGAGACAATATCAGCAGTCAAAACAAGACGAGGGGCTCATGTGCAAGTTCAAACTGAAGCTGAAGAAAATGAAAACAAGTCCATACAAACCAAAATATGACCTTGAGCCTTTCTCACCTGAATTAAGTATATCCCATCTGAATTTAAAAGCTATCTCAAGAATAGAGTTGTTGCATTGTATTGACCAAAGATTGCATAAGCTGTCAGATAACATTAAGGAAATCATCTATGAAGAAAGCAAAAGGTCATTAAAAGTCAGGGTAGAAAAAAAGAAAAAGACCAAAATGGATGTCAGAAGAGACTCTGAAGCTTGCACTAGAGCGTAAAGAAACCAAAAACAAAGAGAAGGAATGCTGAAATAAGAGAGCTAAAAAGATTTCAAAGGCTAGCTTTAGAAGACAAAGCACAATAGTATAATGAAGTATGCAAAGAGCTAGAGTTAGAAAACCAAAAAGGAAGAGCAGACTCAGCATTTCTTAAGCTAAAAGAACTGAAAAATAAATTTAAGCCTCGAGTAGCAATACTGGGGGATTCTGTAGGCAAAATCTTCAATGATGCAAGAAACATCAAAAGAAGATGGAAGGATAAACAGAAGCACTATTTTTTAAAAAAGTTGGTTGACATTGAACTGTTTCAGGAAATAGCATATGATTAAGAACCAGTGGTCCTGAAGGAAGAAGTTCAAGCTGCCCTGAAGGCAAGGAGGGGGGAGGGGTGGGAAATAAGACCCCAGGAAGGGATGGAATACCAATTGAAGTTTTTCAGGAAACTGAAAAATTAAGCCCATAGGCTCAGTAGCCTATGCCAAGAAATTTGAAAGACAGCTACCGAGTAAAGGAACTGGAAGAGATTAATATTTGTTCCCATTCCAAAAAAGGAAAACATGAACTTGGTGACAGGAATGAGGCTGGAGATAAAATGATGGCATTTTGTACAGTCAATGATTTATTCATTGCAAATGCCTTTTATAAGAAACATAAACAGCAACTATACACATGGACCTCATCCAATGGTCTGAACAGGAATCAAATTGACTACATCTGTGGAAAGAATCATTGGAGAAGCTCAGTATCAGCTGTGAAAACTAGGCCAACTACTGATTATGGAACAGACCATCAATTATTCATATGTAAGTTCAAACTTAAGCCAAAGAAAATGAAATCAAATCCACAAGAACCAAAATTTGACCTTGAATCTATCACACCTGAGTTCAAAAACCATCTTACGAGTAAGTTTGAGGCCTTGGACACTAATGAGCGAAGACAAGATGGTCTGTGGGACTGAGACAGATGTCAGAACAGACTCTCAGTATTGCACTAGAGCACCAAGAAACCAAAGCAAAGGGAAGAAATCAGAAGTTAAGGAGCTGAACAGATTTCAAAGGGCAGCTTGGGAAGACAAAGAAAAGTATAATGAAATGTGCAAAGAGCTGGAGTCTGAAAATCAAAAGGGAAAATTTGCTTGGCATATCTTAAGCTGAAGGAACTGAACAACAAATTGAAGCCTTGAGTTGTAATACTTAAGGATGCTATGGGAAGAATGTTGAATGACCCAGAAAGCATCAAAAGATGGAAGGAGTATACAGAGTCACTGTACCAAAAAGAATTGGCTGACACAGAAGAATTTCATGAAACAACATATGACTGAGAGGCAATGGTGACAAACAAGGAAGTTCAAGCTGCTCTTGAAGGAATTGTAAGCAATAAGGCCCCAGGAACTGATGTAATATCAATTGACATATTTCAATAAACAGATGCAGCCCTGGATTTGCTTACCAGGCTATGCCAAGAAATCAATCTGGAGGAAAACCATCTGGCCAGCTGACTGGAATAGATCCATTAAAAAAAAAAAAAAAGCTGATCCAACAGAGTGTGAAAATTATCAAATGGTATCACTAATACCACACACAATTGATAGCTTACTGGATCATCCAAAAATGAATGGAACTGTACATTGACAGAGAACTACCAGAAATGCAGGCTGTAGCACTGAAGACATTATGACAAATGTTGGATGGATCTTGGCTGAAGCAGAGAATACCAAAGAAATGTTTATCCATCTGTGTTTTATTGACTATGTAAAGGCATTTGTATGGATCACAACAAATTGTGGCTGACCTTGAGAAAAATAGGAATCCCAGATACCTGATTTTGCTTATCCAAAATCTATACCTGGACCAGGAAGCACTTGTCAGAACATAGCAAGGAAACACTGAATATGCATATGAATGTGTCAGGGATGCACCCTGTCTCCATACCTTTTCACTCTATATGCAGAACATATCATCTGGGAGGCTAGGTGTTCTGAGGAGGAATGTGGTATCAGGATTGAAAGAAGACTCATCAACAGCACACCTTGCTTGCTGAAACTGAGGAGGACCTGAAGCCTTTGCTACAAAGGGTCAAGGACTGTAGTGTGCAGTATGGATTGAAGTTCAATATCAAGAAAACATTCTCACTGGCAGCATCATGATAGATGGAAAAGAGATTGAGATTGTTAACAATTTCAGCTTGCTTGTTTCCACAATCCACACTTTCGGCATCAGCAGTCTAGAAATCAAAAGACAAATTGCATTAAGAAAATCTGTAGTCAGAGACTGCTCCAGACTGCTAAAGAGCAACAATGTCAGTCTAGAGACTAAGGTACACCTGATAAAGGCCATAATCTTTGCAATTGCCTGTTATGCATCAGAGAGCTCAATAATGATCAAAGAGGACCACAGAAGAATTTATACTTTTGTGTTGTGGTGCTGGAGAAGAGTATTGGATATACTACAATGGCCAAAAGAACAAACAGGTCTGTCATAGAGAGGGTTAAACCAACCTGTTTGTTGGAGGAAAGGATTTTGAGGCTTCATCTCACATACTTTGGGAATGTTTCCAGGAAGAACCAGTCCTTGGAGAAGGACATTATGCTTGGAAGGATGAAGGACTTCAGGAGAGGAAGACCCCTGATGCGTTGGATTGACACAGTAGCTGGGGTAATGAGGGTAGGTGTATCAGAAACAGTGAGATTGGTCCAGGAAAAAGCAGAGTTCACAGCTATTGTGCATAGGGTCACTATGAATCCTGGTCAACTCAACAGCACATCACAACAACAACATAAGTATTAAATTGATAACATATCACAACAACAACATAAATATTAAACAATGACTGAGTTTCTTCCTTGAAACATTTGTTAAAATATCTTTAATGGAATCCATTAGTAGAACAGCCGGGCTAGGATCTTGGATTTTTAGTGAAGGGATGAATACAGGTTTGTTGTTGTTGTTGTTATGTGCCGTCGAGTCGCCTGCGACTCATAGCGACCCTATGTACAACAGCCCTAAACTCCGCTCTGTCCTGTGCCAATCGCACT